TCTCTCTCTCTCTCTCTCTCTGTCTTCTCTTTTTTATCCCTTTTTTTTTTTTTTTTTTTATAATGACGTTAGTTTGAATCCAAAGGTTTCTTCTGTTCCACGTATGTTCAAATATTACACGTTCGTATAACCTTCAACTTTTTCGGTAAATTTGTAAATAATTTCTTTCCATTCAATTTCACAAATTAATAACACTCGTGTGCTGATTAATTACGCTATAATACACGTTCGAAATCTCTACTTTCGACTTAACGGGAACGAATCAAAGTCGAACGATTTCGCGGAAGGACGAAGAATCGCGCGAACGAAAGAAAAGAAAAGATCTGTAAATCTTTCGTTTCTTGAACGATCATTTCATCTAGTTTTTTTTTATTCCAGAGATCCCTTTTCTTTTTTTTTTAGTGTAATTTTGGACACATTGAGCTGATAGACAATACGTAGACAACAGATATGAAAATTTAGAGCTTCCGTTTATTTAGATGCGGTTGTGAAACCTCTTAGATTTTGCTGTCTGCCTCCTTAGTTTAGGTTTCAGGATAGACGTCAATTAGATATTTAGCAATTTCTGATTTCATCATTCGGTTACATACAGTTAAACACAAAAACAAGTTAAGGTCAAAGTTTGAAAGATCTCCGAAAGAACTGAATTCGGAGAATGGAGTTGCACATTCATACGAGTGAATTTAGGAAACACAAGAGATTAGATTGGCTTTTAAATTCAAAGAAACTCAGGGGGCAAATTTTTTTAATACAGAAAGCGTAGAAAAAAAATGAATTCTGATCTTTTCTTTTCTCAAGAGAAAATTACTTTACTTACTCTAGGGAGGGGATGCAATGAAATTGCTAAAAATCGTAAGAAGAAGGGAGAAAAGGATCGCATTTGAATAGTGAGCATCGGAGCACGTTGGAAATGGTATACCCGGTGATAATGTTTGCACTTGTTGGGACATGTCTATGTTTTGTCAATAACGTAGATCGTGAGCACCTGGCCGAGTTACCATTAACATGTTTGCACAGGTACTGCCGAAGCGAATGGAAAAACCTGGAGCGGAATCAGCCAACTGACTAGAAACTAGTTAGCTAAGTCAAAAATAACATCGATCCCTCGTTAATCCTCTCGTCCTTCCTCGTTCTGTGTTTCTCTTTTTGTTGTAACGTGTCTCATCGATCGTTATGATTCACGTTTATTAACTTTTCATCGTGATTATCGTCGACATTTTTGTCAATTAACGTTGCCGAAGTCCAAAGACCAAATATAAAATCACAAATTACTTTTAATCTGATTGTTATGTACAATGCGTACGCTTGTGCAAATCATGTTTTATTAACCTAATCAAATTGGGAAGAATTTGAATGCTGAATGGAAGTGATATTTTTGTATTGAATTGAAGTTTCGAAGTAGATCTCGTATTATTTCTATACTGCAGAAATTTTCATGTAGATAATTTTTTCCCCCAGTTCGTTCATATAAAATCTCAATTGGCGTAAAGTTCAAATCGTCGCGAAGTTTATCAGATAAATAAAATCTAAATGATTTTGACATTCGTTGCTACAAAATTTATCAGTGTAAAATCTGGAACTTAAATCGAAACATTGTAGAAGAAATGGATCTTGAAATCACAGTTTCCATTCAGTGAAGAGTTCTTCTGATTTCCTCAAAATTCTTTCTGCACACCTTTTGGCTCTTTCTAGGCTCGAGCTAGAAGTTTTAGTTTCTATTTTCTCAGTGTACAGTAGATCGTGAAAG